ACCCTTGGTCGTAAGATGAGGGGAAGACAGGAAGGGGGAAGAACATGCTTTGTAGTTTTTCCTGTGGTCCTGCTGGAATCGGGCACCCAGGTGCCATTGGGAAGCATCTCCCCGCCATCTGAGCCTGGGTGCCAGGCGGTGATAACACAAAACTTCTAACGGGGGAGGAGAGACCAAAGAGGAGCAAACAGTGGGCAGCAGGGGAGAAGGTGGTTCCAACACCGATCTCAGGGCCACGGATGGCCTGTCCTTCCTTTCAAAGTCTTAGACTTGGGGCGCCCGGCTGGCTTAGTTGGTAGACCAAGAGTTCCGAGACTCTTGATCTTGGGGTTGTAAGTTCGAGCCCCGTGTCGGGCGTAGAGATCCTTTAAAAACTAAACATTTTTAAAAGTAAGTAAATAAGAGTGAAAGTCTAAGACTTAACTTTCACCGCCAAGAATATCTTAAAGAGGCTCAAAGTTTTATTTGAGTATCTTCTGTTGCTTTGCATCCCAAGCAAATCTGGTTGGCATTTGAGAAGGCGAAGGTTCTGGGCATTGATTGAAGGAACTTGTTTAAAGTATAACAAGGACCTCAATTTGCCAGTGAGATACAAAATGCAGATATCCTGGCTGTCAGGTCCGGCACCAACGGAGAAAGGGTCATCTCCCTGACACTCAAGGTTTATGGTTTTTCAAATCTCGAGGACTCTGAAACTGCATATTATTTTTAAGTGACGACACGTTTCTCAGAATGTCTCTGGCTGGGACGGTGTCTCTGCTCTCAACAGCCAAGGGGGACAGAAAGGCAATAGGCTTGGGGGACTTGCTCTGATAGAGGCCAGATCTCTGTGACTACAGGAAGTCTTACCAGTGAGTGGAGATGTTGGTGGGTCCAACTCACCCCAGCTGAGCTAAGAAAGTCTACGGCATGTTCATAGTAACAGAAATGTGGCTGCTTTCCTCCTTTTAAGTTGGTGGCATTCAGAATAACACGCACCGGTATTGGCAATATTGTTCATGTGAATCTGAACACGCGGTAGTTTATTGCCTCGTGATACGATGATGCCACCCTCTATATACAATGCATTTTTTATCTGAAGTTATGAGAGATACTTGATTTAAAGTTCATTAGCTCTAGAAAGATGACAAGGTAAAGGTCGTTATTCCTATTTTACAGCTGAAGAAATTTTGAAGGGAGGAAATCTTAACCTGGGGACCGGTAGAGTTTCCTGCGTTTGCTCAGTGGCTCTGACCGCAGGCTTTGCGCTTTCAGAGGTGGCAGGCTAGGACGTCGTGGCCGGCCTCCTGGGGATGTAGGAGCCTCTCAGTTGAGGACGTCTTATCTTACTAGAACAGCTTACCTGAACTGTTCCGCTACGGTTCTACCCACACTTTGCCATTTTAGATCGTGCCGTATTAATAATCCACTTTGAAACAGCCTGGTTCACCCTCTGCTCACCTGAGCTAACCGCAGACCTACGGCCTTATCAGAGAGACAGCCAGTCAGTAACAAGAACAAGCCACAGGCCAGTTCTCTTGCTGGTGAAAGTGCCCCCATCCAAAACTCAGAGGTCCACATTATACTATGAGTTCTAAGACCAGGCCCTGCGTACGGGTTCAGAGTTGGTGGAGGGACGATCTGTGTGTAGTACAGTTCTTCCTGAGATCACTTGCATCTGGGCAACAGCTCTGCGCAATAGACGACAACTCGTCAGAAGGCATGTTACTCCCGTAGAATCTATGTCCTATTCAGACTCATTCTTCTGTCTTGTTCTGCATCTGGAAACGCTTCCCCTTCCAGCCCCCCCCCCTTCCCCCCGCTCCTCCATACAACTCGCTTTCTGTCTGGAAGTACAACAAGACACCCGGTTAGATCAAACCTAACCCAACCTCCGTCACAAAGCTACCGCAAGCTGCCGCCGACGATTGTCACCTGAGGGGAGACCCCCCCCTCCTCACCACACACAGCCTATCCGAGGAGTGCCTTTGTTTTTTCCTATCCTCATTATTTAACAGTGTGTGCCGATTACTCAAAGCGATATGGGCAGGCCCTGGTAAACATAGCGTTGCTGTAGTGTTAACTTTTTATAAGGTAATGCTCAGGTTGCCTGCAGTGTCTAAAATTACTCTGTGGCCAGGGCCCCCTGCTTTATCGCTTTCTATAGTTTTAAAGTAGTTTGAAGCTTGAATAACATAAAATAACATAATATAATGTTATTTATGTTATTTCCCACGTGAAGAACGCCTGTAAACCTTGCAGTATTGAAACTCAGTGAACAAGGCATCTTAGACAAGCTGAAAAACAAATGGTGGTACGATAAGGGGGAGTGTGGAGCCAAGGACTCCGGGAGTAAGGTCAGTCGCTGAAGGTCTTTTTGTACTGATTAGCAATCACGTTTTGAACCACTGTTTATTTTCCACCCCCAAACGGCTTTCCTTCCCAACACACACTCCCTGACACAGTGGGACCCCTTTATAACACCGGCGCTAAAGGGACCAGGCCCGCAGCAGCCTCCAGGCCTGCCACGTGACATCAACCATTGACCCGGAAGGAGCAATTGTTGGCATGGCGACGCAATCCGGCCCAGCGCGCTTCCAAAGCTGTAAAATACCGAGCTGTGTTATAAGGGGGTTTTACTGTATTTCACATTTCGAAAACTCAAAGAGAAAAATCTAACAACCACAACAACCCAAAAAAAAAAAAAAAAAAAAAAGATCCAGTTGTGACAGTACTTTTTCTTTACCTGTTACAGTGTCAGAGACTTTGTAGTTGTAAATTCCTTTGGTTATTGATACATTATGTCGGTCCCATCCGAAAACAGTCAAAGACATAAATGACAAAGACCGGTCTCTGTAAGCAGAATGCTTAGCCTCCTCCCAGCTGCTGTCGTATTGAGTTCAGCACCTATTTGGATCTCGAATATCATTAAGTCTGTCACACTCCTCTCTTCCAAAGGTGTCACTTGAATCTCTGTACGTAATACTTTTGAAATTGAGTCGCATGCTCCTTGAGGGTATACATTGTCAGGATAACATCACACTGAGAAGCATGAAACACTCTTCCCCGCCTCCTTCCTGCCCCCCTTTGCTCCCCTAAGAAAGTTCTTTTTAGTTTCAGTTTTTTGCCTCGCCTTTTTTTGAACTAATATTGTGGTATCAGTTAATTCATTTCATGAAGTGCCACTCATTTTCCCTGTGCCGTGAACCATTTTGCTACTGGTTTTCCACATCCCACCACAGGAAATTCTACGAAGCTTAAATACCAGGAACACGAAACTCTTCATGTTGCTACAGCGCGCAACATGGGTTCTGTGAAAGGCCACGTCCCCCCCCCATCAAATACCTCATACATAGAATAACCCCATGGCAGAGAGAGGGTTACCAGGCCTGGTCCATCTCCTGATGGACCGGGGAGCCTCCTCGCAGATAGCCTCACCGGCCTCCTTAAGGAAATGAGCCACTGTTTCACAAGCGACAGAAACTCTTACCGCTTCTTCAGTTACCTGTCGTTCGCCCTGGAAGAGTGACAATTTGCAAGTTCGCTGTAGACATGAGGCACGCATGTCCCGCCCCTCCCCGGCCATGCACTTCGATTCCAATTGGCCTTTTTATTGAGGTAAACAAGTATGGGACTGGCTCCTATAAATATAGCATCAGGACATGGCCATATCATCTCTTCATTTAATTCTTTAAGTGGTACCAGGACTAGATGAGCCACGGGAGTGCTGAGTGTCAGCTGTGGCCACTATCTGCTCACCGTGTTGCCATCTGAATAAGATATTCAATTCACCGACTTAACAATGTGGGTATTCCGTTTAATTGCATTCAGCAGCAAAATGGTTACATTCCCTCTAAAAAGACTACAAAATGCTATTTTATTTTATTTTTTTCAAAGAAAGGCTCCTGGCCCTTGGTGTGTCCTACCTCAAGGTAGGGCTCAAGGCACCAACTTTTTTCTTTCCATTGTTCAGCAGTTCAGTCTTTGCTTTTTCACACAGGCAGTTAGCTTAGTCAGATGTGCACAGTTTGACCTGAAAGTCACTGACCGGCTTCCTCGATTTTTTCCCCCATTTTAAATAGAAAACAGATAAGCATAGTATTTTTTTTTTTAATTACTTACTACATTCCCTGGAGTAAAGCTAAAAATGAGCTGGATATATATATATATATATATATATATATATATATATATATGTTGTTTTTTTTTTTTAATCATCAGCCTCCTGGAGAAGCTTTCTGATTGGTGTGTGGAGCCAATTCAGGACCCAGTGGGTCGTCCTGACAGTTTCCTTAAACTCTCAGGAAGACGGAAGGGAGCCAGCTCTTTATGCTGTGTCCTGGTTCCAGCAGCACAAAGACTTGCCGCCCTGAGGATGAGAACTTAGCAACCAGTCCCCGAAGGGAGCAATTTCCCAGCCACCAGGGGAAAGGGGAGAGCTAATCCCTTTTAAACAAGCCCTTGTGAAGTAACTCCCCAGACAAGAGTATCAGGAACCTCTAATATTCTCACCTGGTATCTCAAAGACAAGTTGTTGACAAGGTTGTCGCAGGGAGAACAAGGGAGAAAGGGGTGTTGCGGGCCAGAGAGGGGAAAGAGTGCTTCAAGTCCCCAAATGAGAAGAGTGTTAACATTTATAGAGATTATGCCACAGCTCAACTCTGGCAAAGGGCGCCTTGAGGCCGGCAGAGGAACACATTGTGCTCGTGTTTATGCTTTTGCTCCCGTGGCCAAGTGCTGTTTTATTTAGTTGCTGACACCATTTGGAGGCACCAAAGGAATTAAGGAGTCCAAATAAAAGAACATGTAGGTGAGGGTCACAAGCGTGAACAGAAGCACAATCTACCATCTCGCGGGCCATTGTGAAACAGCAGCCGGTTGCCAGAGTCGAACCATAACACTCACATCAATGTTTAGTTGTTTTACGAACTTAGAACTATCCTGTATTGTTGTCATGTGTTATAATGTCCCATCGCTTTTTTTTTCCCCCAAGAACTAATCGCGTTGTTCATTTCTCTTAGGACAAGACCAGCGCTCTGAGCCTGAGCAATGTGGCAGGCGTTTTCTATATACTTGTCGGAGGTCTGGGGCTGGCCATGATGGTGGCTTTGATAGAATTCTGTTACAAATCACGGGCAGAGTCCAAACGCATGAAACTCACAAAGAACACCCAAAACTTTAAGCCTGCTCCTGCCACCAACACTCAAAATTACGCTACATACAGAGAAGGCTACAACGTGTATGGAACAGAGAGTGTTAAGATCTAGGGGTACGGTCAAGGTCTAGTAAACTAATCAGCCTTACATGACTGTATGTGAATCTCTCTCTCTTTTTTCTTTCTTTGTGTTTTTTTTTTCCCCCTTCGGTTTATTGTTTCAAGTATTGTCTAGTCTTTGCAACCATTTGATTCTCTGAAGACAATGGTTGTGCTTTCTCGTGGGGCAGTAGTACTTTTCTAGTAGCACAGTAGTAATTATACCGTGGTCTGCAACCCAAAAGGACAAGAAATTCTCTAGAGCTGCACTGTTCAGTGAAATATTTGTGAGGCATGCATGTGAGCCACGGGTGTAATCTGAGACACTCTAGTAGCCACACTTTTTTAAAGTAATGCAAGTGAAATTAATTTAATGAGACATTTTATTTAACCCAATATATCCAAGATATCCCTTCTACATGTTACTGATGTATAAAACGAATGAAAGGTTTTACGTCATTTTCTTCACCCTAAGCCTTGGAAATCTGGGGTGTGTTTTATCCTTATGGTACATCTCAATGTGTCCTACCCACCTATTGAGGGTTCAGTAGTCACATGCGGCTGCCATACTGGACAGCGCAGTTCTGCAGAAAGCAGCTGTTCTGGAACTAACGGTATAATGAGGAATTGAGGCAGGGCACTGTCACCTTCAGAAAAGCAGTACTTCCGTAAGGGCATGGCGGGTCTCTTAAGTGTAAGCCTGGACCATTTCTTTAATCTTTGAGTTCCTTTGTTGTCCCTTACTTGGAAGTATATTCAGGTAAGTGTTTCTCAAAGAACCGTTGAGGCTCCCTGCTGTTGGCTGCCCCAAATCCATACTTAGATAAACCTGATTGGTGCCACCTTGACTCTGGGAGCTACAGCCAACCCCCCGGCCCTCCTCTAACCAACAATTCAGACATGTTCAAAGGCAAGCTCAAAGTAGGATCATCATCTATCTGTCCGTTCTGGAAGTGTTTAAAAGAATACAGTCTTGTTGTTACCTTCAAGTGCATCTGTCGTCACCAACATGCCTCTCTGAAAGCGAAGAGAACAATCAGCAACTTCGGGCCCTTATTTCAAGTGGGAGATTTTTTACCCCATGAGTCAAGGATACCATGAGTTTCCTGAATGCGCTTGAATTTCTACAAATGCAGTATCTGTGTTTTTGATCCCCTTGTATTTCATATCATGGAACTAAATTCAGCCCATTTTTAAATACTATTTCATCCAAATAAATCCTGTGTCTTCACCATAGAAAGTATTATCTTGTTTCAGGAAGTTGCTGGTTGTTCTTTCCTGCTGTAGACCGCAGCCCTGTGCCACACATACCCAGTACACTGACCTAACGCACTGAGTGTTCCCAGCGCATCGCTGACTGTGCGGTACATGGATTCATCTGTGATTAGTGTTGTTTGTGTGCAAGTGTTTAATGTTCCAGGGTGCTTAAAATATTTTACTCTTGAGTAGCTTCTATAGGTCCGTTACAATTTGGAGCACATGATCTGCTTTTTCATAGGGTAGTGCGTGGGCAATTTCAGCTTACCTTAATTAACCCAAATTCTGAGATACTGGCATCCAAAAAAAAAAAAAAAAGAAGAAGAAGAAGAAGAAATCTGAAATCCACTCTCACATCTATTGCCTCTTTTGAGGTTATGGGTCGCAAAGTGTATTCCTTTCGGGAAACTAAGATCCAGTCATACTGAGTGACTTGCTCAAGGCAACACAACTAGGTCATGGCAGTTCCAGGACTAGAACCCAGCCCCTCTCCTTCCTCCAGCTATTGTCTCTTCACAAAGCCATTTTGCCTCTAACCACCAGTGGCCTGGTAGTCTCCAGGGACCTTGAAATTCCAATGGGATCTAGTCAAGTGGAGAGCAGACCCAAAGTCTGTGTCCCACTTTTTTACAAAAAAGGCATACATCTCACTTAGGCATTCGACACCAAGTCATATAGTCATTCTCTCCTATTTTCCCCAGAAAATCCTTCTGAGACAGGTATCAGGACTCAGGGTCACACAGCCTCCAGACCCTCTTTATTAGCAGCCATTCCATCTGAGACTCTATGTCTCTGCTCCTCGATCACCATAGCCTCAATTTCTCATTCAAGCCCCAGAGGAGTGTTTCTTAAATGTCAGTGTGCCTTGTGAACCACCACATTATAAAAATGCAGATGCTGGGGCGCCTGGGCGGCTCAGCCAGTTAAGCATCTGACTCTTGATCTCCGGTAAAGTCGTGTTCTCGCAGCTCATGAGTTCGAGCCCCACATCTGGCATCTGTGCTGATGGCATGGAGCCTGCTTGAGATTCTGTCTCTCCTTCTCTCTGCCCCTCCTCTGCTTGTGCTCGCTCTCAAAAATATAAATACATAAACTTTTTAAAAATGCAGATCTGATTCAGTAAATTTGGGGTGCTGCCTGAGAGTTTACACTTCTCACAGCCTCCCAGGCGTTGTTGATGCTGCTGGTCCAGCAAGTAGTAAGATTCTAGAGAGAACTGTCTCAGGACATGGAACTTAAGGAAAGAAAGGGAAGAGGGAGGGAGGGACAGAGGAGAAAGAAAAGACAGACAGAGAGATAGAGACAGAAGGAAAAAGAGAGAGAAAGAGAGGAAGGGAAAGAAAAAAACTTAGGGTCAGCAAGCCTGTGGGCACAATGTTGCAGTTCGAAAGTAGAGGCCCAGAAGGGAAATTGCCACAATTTCTGGCTCGCTCTCTCTTCTTTAGTCACGTTGGTTGATCCATTTTGCGAAGCAAAATTCAGACTAAATGACACACAAAGCACATTTTAATAGACATCAGTGACAATGTGGTTACAGCCCAGTTAGCTAGCACCTTGGCAACTATCCCCAGGATGAAAAGAAAAGCTGGGGAAAGCCTCTGCAAACAAATCTGTCCTCCGAGTCCATGTGAGGTCTCCAGACAAGAAGCAGAGGCCTCACAGGATGCCAGAAGAATCCTCCCATGGATCAGGCCAAGAGGCACAAAAGCCAACTGAGCAGGAAACAGAAACCTCTCTGCTGTTCTCAGCCAGTTCGGTCATGTAATGGTAGGGGAGCGTTGGTTAAGTGAAGGGTGAGCCCTTTATCCATTCATCTTTTAATTCCCAGGAAGTTCTGGAAGGTATCTTGGTGATTTCTAATTTGTTACCTAGTTCTTAGGCTTCCAGTTCTCCGAGTTGGCCTAGATCTGTCAAGGTCTATGCAGGGGCACAAAGATCAAGAGGCACCCTGAGATGTTACTTTTATTGCTAATTATCAGAGCCAGCCTTAGGAGTTAGGGATGCCAGTAATTCTTGAGGAAACATGACCCCAGGGCAAATCACCTGCAAAAATATGATCAAGCTGAAACCTGGTTAATGAAAAGCACCCTTGGGGAACCTAGGTGGCTCAGTCGGGTATCTGTCTGACTCCTGGACTCTTGATTTCGGCGCAGATCATGATCTCACCATTCTTGCGTTTGAACCCCTCGCCGGGCTCTGTGCTCTCGCTCCCTCTCCCTCTCCCCCACTCCCGCACCTGTGCTCTCACTCTCTTTCAAAAATAAATAAACTTAAAAAAAAAAACACCCTTGAACGAGGAGGGAATCATCTCTCCTTCTGTATGGGTGAGAATAGTCAGAATTATTGGACTGGTGGGAAGGTGCGCCTCAGCCTCAGAGCTAGAGCCCAGGAGGGAGCATACAGCCTCCTGACTGCCTGTTACCTCTCTGGGCTACTGCCCAACTCCCGGAAGCGTGGCCACCAAGCGTGTCTTGGCAGGTGACTGACTGCCAAGGGTCCCAGAGTCACTGCGTCCCAAGGTTGACTCTGCTAATCATCTTGAGATTCTTCCCAACTTCCTCGTTGCCAGCAAGAACTACTCGTGGCTTCTTTGGTTTCTTCAACACTATTTTTAAACGCTTCTCATTTTCAAGACCTCAAGCTGCCTGAAGTTCAGGGGAAAGATTTCCATGTTTCCCCTACGATGCTTCTGTTTAGTCTTCCCAGAAAATGTTAAATTCATTCATGCAGTCCATTTTCAGAAGGATCAATGTTCCTTCTGCAGCCTATGCATAGACACTCTTGCTGGGGAAATCTTCCCGCTTGATGAGTTCATCTTAAGGTTACGTGGAAAACACGTTCCAGATAACTGAGGTGGTCATGTTCTTTGTCCCCAGAGGACTTCTCAGTGATGACACTTCATTGATCCCCATTTAAAAGCAGGAAACAGAGGCAGTGAGAGGTAGAGGAGTGTCCCAAGGTTATGCAGCTATGAAATGTCAAGCCATGGCCAATGAGGACGGAGGATGGGGACTGTGATCTTTCCGCTCTAGATACAAAATTTCTGCAAGCTTCTGAGATAGATATGACTCTGGACTCGAGAGTGTCCAAGGAAGAGGTTTCCATGTTCCTCTCATTCTGCCTCTTCGGGCACTTTTGGCCTTAGGGTGCCTCTTTGACATTCTTCTTAACAGATACTTTCCTTCCAGGGCCAGTGGTGGAACATGACTGTCATTCCCTTGGGCAAAATTCATTGTTAGCTCAAGACAAAATGAAGGGTTCCCTTCATGTACAGGGAAAGGCTGGAGAAGAGGGAAGTGAGCTTGAAGACGAGGCAAGAACGTTCCCTTAAGTCTTCAGAGTCAGGGGTAGATGAAGCCCCTGCACTAGTGAATACCTCCTACAGGAAGGCAGCATCAGCCTCCCAAACAGGTCCATAATATCTGGGTAAAGACCCCATGGATGCCAACCAAGCCCCTTCATGGGTGTCACTGTTCTGGCCCCTATCTGGAATGTGCTGTCTCTTTGAAGTCCATGTGCCGTTTTCAGATTTGAATAGCTAAGGTTGTAGGTATTGAGAGAGACAAGCTGTCACTCTCGGACAGTGAACGGCACATTTCCTTCTCACAGTCAAACGGAGTTCAGGCGAGCAAGTCACAGAGCACTGCTTGTCCTCTGCCTTAGGTAAACAGTCCTCTGTCGCAGGGTCTGCAGTCAGAATACACTCCGCAGGTTAGTTGTCCTGAATATCTGTATCTAGGTGCGACTAAGGCTTCCGCGCATACCCGCCTCCCAGGTGATCAGTGCCCGAAGTCAGATGCCACGCGACACCTGTATGTTCCCTGGTGCAATGCCCGGTAGAGGAGGAACCTAGCTTGACCCATTGCAAAGCATTTGCATCAGGTGAAAGAATTTACACAGACTTGTGGCTTAAAGCCAGTCAAGCGGGGGGCAGCCCCAGGGATGCCCAACTGGAAAAACGTTCACGGTTCTTGTCCAAGATAGACTGAGCCACAATAGACTGTGCAAGCCCTCCAAGAAAGCCCGTTCAAATGTAAGTTTCCCCCTTGCCTTTGCAGATCCCGCCCCGCTGGAGGCATGTGATGAGAGGAATTGCCGAAAACGTGGCCGCTTCAAGGATCCTGAGCCAGACTTCACTCTCCCTGGTGTCGGGCATGACACGAATATTGTTGATGGTGCAATGACCTTTCAATAGGAAAAACGGATTGTTTTTCCCTTCAGTGCCTTATGGAACACTCTGAGACTCGCGACAATGCAAACCATCACTGAAATCGTTTTGCTTTGCTTGAAAACAAATTAAAATAAAACCAACAAAAACATGGACATGCAAGATTCCAGTATGCGGAAAAAAAAATCGTATTACAAAAAGTCAGTTCAACAAAAGCCATTCTTTGATACCACTGCTCGGTATACAAACACCATGTTCTTTAATACACACACACACACACACACACACACATACACGCACACACACGCACGCACGCACACAGGTTTAAAATTCCAATTCAGCAAATAGGCCCATCTCAGCTAAAATAATTAACTCTTCCTGATTGAAAAAAAAAAAAATCTCTGACTCCCTGTGTTTGGGAAGACAGACTGGCATTTCTTCTAGGATCTGCTGACCAGATGTTTTTGGTATTTCCTGTCGGTAGTGATGTTCTGTGCACCCTATTTCCTTTCAACGTTGCTGAAATGTGTATATCTTTAGAATGTAAATGCAACACTTAAGAAAATTCAAACACTTTTGGAAAAGGGACTCAACCGTGACTTCTCTGTGTTCTTGAAACGGTTTTGTGTGAATGCTTTGATAACTTCCCACCCGGTGAAGGGATTCCCAGAGCTTTCGAAATGGACTTGTGTGTGTAGCAAGGGGCGGGGCACGATCAGGCGTACCTCTCGGTGCTTTCCTACAGCGGATCCCGGGGCTTTCCCAGAAGCCTGGAATTGCAGCTCACAGGTCTGTTTTTCTTGCTGCGGTGTGCGTTTTAAGTCAATATAGCTGAGTCTTTGGCATTGAGGTGAGGGAAATGCTGCCTACACTCCCAAATGTGTTTAGGATATCTTTCTCAGAAACAACACTGTGTTTAGCTCCGCTTTTCTCTGCTAAGTATGCCTTTCAAGTGTACATCGCGGAGACAGGACCGCGTTGCAAGGCAGGCCGGTGGGTTCAGGCCACGGTTCTCGGTCTGGCTTTGCTCCAGCTAGGTCTGTCTTCCCAGCTGTTGCCTGTGACTGCCCGTGGCTCTCCGTCGGACTGCATGTGTCCTTTTCTAGTTTGCAAAGACTAAAATGCATTCCCAAACCCACTGCTAAACCGAGGGCCTCAGCATCACTCCCAGGTCCTTGCTCGGAGCAGTCTCACTACTGACTGTCTCAGAAGATCGCGCCACTGCCCCACGGGCTCTCAAGTAACTAACTGCGTACCTGCCGTTGGCATCATCAGAACAGTCAGAGGAAATAGTCTCCGCTCACTAATTACCTCCTATATAATGACGTATGCTTTCTGTAGTTCAGTAGTTTGCTCTCATCAGTGACGTGCATTGGGAAGTTTCCAGACTGCAAAACCCAGGAGCTTGAGTTCATTTCCCAAGGGTGACCTTTAGAAGCCTAGTTGACTCGCTGCCCATTTGCTCTCATCTTCAGAAAAGGAAGGAAGAAGTCTCGTTCCGATGAAACGTTTCCAGAAAAGTGTAATATAAACTTTCATTCCAAAAATGGTGTCATAAGAGAGTAACTCACCTGTCAAATTTTAAATGGTATTGAACAAAAAACAAAAAACAAAAAACAAAAAAAAAGAAAGCTGTTGTGTTTTCGTTTTCGTTTTGTTTTCATGAAACTGTGATTTTCAACTTCTGAATGCTATAATGTCCAGAGCAGGAAGCTAACGCTGTGCAAATATGACGTTGTATAAAACAAAATGGACCAACCTACACACAAATGTTTTCATAGGCACTGTATAAAGAGAAATGTATGTTTATGGACTCAAATCAGTTTTTCAGAGGAAACTTTGCTGGGAATGAAGAGGCGGGTAAATTGGTTTGTTATTTTTTAAAAACTTGCATGTTTAAAAAAATTGATTGCTTCAAATTTCTGCTACTAACTTCAAGCTATGGGAGTTTGGCGGTAGTCACTTGAGGATTTTTTTTCCAATTCTTTTCTTTTTGTTGTTAAAGCTGTACTTCAGTGAACAGAAAAATTGCCAAGCCAACTAATGGCCGTAAAAGCGTAAATTGCATGTGTGGGCATAAACTACGGAGCCTCATTGCCATGAGGTATTGTACAAAGTTTTAATACATTTTGTAAATAAAATTGTAAAGAAAGGACTCTGTTTCTGTGCTCTGCCAGTTTAAAACCGACGTGGATACAGGTGCCAGGAAGTTATTATTCATCCATTTGCTTGCCACCAGAAGCTTTGCCAATGAGGTCACAGTCACCTTGCTGGTGATTTTCACAAAGGATTACGCCGCTCCCCTCCCCGCCATCATCCCTCCCCCATCTGCAACCACAGTTAGTCTCAGGGCCCTCATCCTAGCTACATGTTCCACTGGAAAACCTTCATTCCGCCAAGCGTCACCAATCTAGAGTGCAGAGAGAAATAATGAATTCAGGACTATACTGATTCTACGTGTTTCTGAAAGAGAAACAAAAGGTCTCTAATCTAGTCTGATTTGTAGACGCTGAACATGGAGTCCAGTTTTACCCAATAAATACAGCAAGTGTTTAAATATAGGACAGTTTTATATTATGATCGCCATAGAAAATGGAGGATAATGATAGGAGGAAAGGAAGGGATAATTTGTGGCTGGGCCAGCAAAGAAGAAAAGTACAGCTGAGATGCTAGAGAGAGGAAGGAAGGAAGCCATCTGGGGTCGGGGAGTTTGGAACAGAGAGAACGAGGCCTTGGAGACCAAGAAAACTCAGAGTGGGAAGGAATTCTCCCAGAAGATTCTGAGGGGTAGGCTGATATAAACACGCTGAGGTTAGCAGGCCTGGGGGGCTTCAGCACGTTACTCCAAGCTTCTCCGTCCTCGGAAATGCCAATCGGCTGACCAACCAACATGCTCCCAACTTTCAGGTGCTTCCCTTTTCTTCACTCAGGTCACCGACAGCAGTCCCGCCGGCAGAGAACTGACTCTCTAGGGAACAGATTCTGAGACTAGATTGGAGTGATGGTTCCCTAGCCGGCTGATAAAGTCTATTCAAGTACCAAATGATGCCCCCAGATCTTCCGAAATAATAGAGTTCTATCTTAACAGAAACTTTAATCCCTTAACCCAAAGGAATAGCCACTCTCGGGTACTGTGGCAGATGATAGAGTGCAATTTGGGTTAGTTGGGGTCTGGGGGATTTTTTTTTCTCTTTGGAGGAAGGGACAAGCAAACAAAAATTGTCTTTCTCAATCCAGACTGTAGGCGGCTATATATCTTACTTACACATAGGGTCATCCTTGCCAACCAGGTCTGCAAATAGGTCTTGAGCTTCAAATGTCACACTCCCCCTGCACACGAAAGGAAAATGCCTTTTGGTCCCTGCACTGGTTTCCTTGCCTGTCAAGACTCATATCTGATCGCACCGTATAGTAAAACCTTCCAACAGGAAGGGCAAATACATTTAAGGAAACCTTGGTAGGCTCGTGTAAGAACAGCGCTGCCGATCACCTTCCTGCTACTGGGAGGGGAGAAAGGGTTGACTGTGACTTGGGGAGATGAGCCTGGAGGAGGAGAACAAATTAGAAGCAAGAAGCAGAACCATTATTCCTCAGAATGCAGACTCGGTGAAACAGATCTATTAATATGCTGTCCCCATAAGGGCCATAAGCCAGTTATAACACCAAAACCTATTCTCCTTTGGAGCCAGAGCCCTCCCCTCTGACCCTTACCCTGCTGGACTGGGCTTTTGGGGAAGCAACTTATCAGCAGATCACTTAGCAGATATGACCTTCAGCAGCAGTATATCTGCATTTGGTTGTGGGCACACACAGCACTTGGCGTCCCAACAGGAAATCTCTTTTGAATCTGGGGCCACTGGAGGAACTTACGTTACCCCCTCCACCACTACCTCCATCATTGCGGACCGGAAGAAAGGCAAAGTCTTGGAAGAGAGTGGTAAATGGCACCCAGAATTTAATGGAACTTGCCTCTAGAACTGAAGGTGAAAGAATGAGGCGCTAGGAGACTTCTTGTACACCTAAGCCGAGGAGTCCAAGACATGACATTCCTGTTCCATGAAGACGTGGGACACGCTTCCGGGTTCTCTCAAAAGGCTCCTTGGGAGGGCGCTATTGTCAGGAGAGGATGGAGGGAGGTCTTATGCAGGGTCTGTCCTTGTCCCAAATCTACTGTCACTTCCTTAGCATCCTCCAAACTGAGGGTTCACAGACTCATTTGAACGGGCAAGACGCCCACGCTCTTTGACAGGTGTCGTCCTTGTAACTTCACAGATGATGCGGTAACAAACTTGGCTCCTGCCCTCAGGGGGCTTGCAGTCTTGGTGGGAAGTTAGAGGGTGAATCGACATCCATTCATTCCCTGTGCTTTGCTCAGAGAAAGAACGCTAAGGAGCCCAAAATGAAGCCTTGCCGTCTGCCTCTTCGCTTGGATTCGTGCTTCCTGGTACACCAGGGTGGAGCCTGACTCAGTTCTAGTATAAATGGATGGAACTTAGTGCCTGCAAAGCCGTGAGCTTTTTCAGCTGAGGAGTCACACCTGGGCCCTGCAGGCCCCTAGCTGCTGAGAACCTCACAATGACCACCTTCCTGCCAGTCTGCCCACCCTCCGGGCAGGAGATATTCGCTTATGTATTGACTCACAATGCCCTCACTATAAAAGCATAAAAGAACCTGCAACGTCAGCCTAAGAAATAATCCTCTCCCCATGTCAGCAGATTTGACAAAATTAGCCTTTCAGTGGTTTCACTGAGTTTCAATCCTGGAGCAAAAATGGCTGATTTAAATTTTTCCTAATAAATATTCATTAAGCCCGAACAAGCCAAAGCTCTGGCAGCAGCTCACCAGAAGCTTGAGTGTAGGCTGATGGGGAAACAGTTTTAGAGATACTTCCAAACAACATTGCTGTCTTCTCCCATGAGGGTGCAAATCTTCTTGAAAGGCTAGAAACCCTCTCCCAACCTAGCTTGTTATGCCCCATCACTGGACTATGGCTTCCACCCCACCGCTCTCCAAGAACTGCTCTTGACAAGGTCATCAGTAAACTGTACGCCTACTTCATCTTTTTTAACATTTATTTATTTTTTGAGAGACAGAGCGTGAGTGGGGGAGGGGCAGAGAAAGAGGGAGTCACAGAATCCGAAGCAGGCTCCAAGCATGAGACATGGGGCTCAAACTCATGAACCACGAGATCATGACCTGAGCTGAAGTCGGACGCTTAACTGATTGAGCCACCCAGGTGCCTCAGCACACTTTATAGCAAAGGATCACAAACTTTGGCCCACAGGCTCAATGTGGC